ATTTGCCCATTGGCTCCGAGTATCTGGTTCGTGGCCCGAATACTCCGGCTCCTGTCCCCTCAGCAGTTTTGGAGCCATCTGTGAATCATTTGATGGTGTTTGCTTTAAGGGACTGGATACATTCATGTTCCATCTGCTCTTTGTACTTAGTTCGATGGAAAAGTTTTTCTGGAAACTGAATTTATCAACAATCGCGTCTTTTGGTAAGTCTATGAGGTGTGCACAGTTTGGGAGAGGGAAAGCTTTGCCAAATTGCGTTTTCCCTTGTAGACTTATCTTCGCCAGTCTTAGATATGATTCACTGGCAACCCGCTTCACTATTGTGTGAAGTGGTGTTAGGTCTAGGATGACTCCCATTGCCGCGGTTGGGCATGTTCTCATTGCTCCTGTTATGCATAGACATGCGAGTCTTTGTACCTTTCCTAGGGTTTTCCTAGCCGTTACTAGCTGGGTTCGGCTGTACCAGGCTACCGCTCCGTAGGTGATGATAGGTCTCACTATCATGGTATACATCCATCGTAGGATCGATGGATTACAACCCCACGTTTTGCCCGCAATGTTTTTACATACCATGAGTGCCGAAATTGCTTTGTTTGTTATATTCTCTATATGTCGGTTCCAAAGGAGTTTAGAGTCTAGGGTTATTCCTAGGAATTTAACTTCTGGTTTCCAGTGAAGCGTGCTTTCATCGAGGCGAATGTTCCTCAGGTATGGGAGTTTCGTTCTTTTTGTAAATATTACCAGTGTGGTTTTTGATGAGTTAAGATTCAGTCCCACAGTCTGACACCATTCCTTCGTGGTTCGGAGTGCTTTTTCTATAAGGTCACAGAGTATTCCTTCGTGTTTGCCTCTGGCTATGATGACAATATCATCGGCGTAACCAAGGCAGTTGAAGCCCTGGTCTATCAGTGTATTTAGTAGATCATCGACTACTAGACTCCACATCAAGGGTGAGAGTACCCCTCCCTGTGGACATCCTCTCGTTGTGGTGACTTGTATGGTTTGTTCCCCCACATCCGTTTCTGCAGTTCTGGTGGCTAACGTTTCATACATCCAGGTGGATGTGGTTTTGTCCACTCCTTTTCTGACAAGCGCATTCTTTATTGACTCATGAGAGGTGTTGTCGAAAGCCCCCACTATGTCTAAGAAGGCGCAGATGGCTACTTCTTTATTCAGCAGTGTGTTTTGGATGCTGTCAGTGAGTTCAAATAGAGCGGTTTCTGTTGATCTGCCCGCTCTGTAAGCATGTTGCCTAGGATGTAGTGGCGTTTTTTCTAGAACATTTGTTCTGATATAGTTATTTACAACTTTCTCAACTGTCTTTAGTAAGAACAACGTGAGACATATAGGTCTGAACGACTTCGGTAGAGTGGCATCCTTTCTCCCTGCCTTTGGGATGAAAGTTACTTTAGCTCTTCTCCATTGACTGGGTATGTATCCGGTCGCTAGGCTGTATCTAATGAGTTTGATTAGATACGGCATAATTTCATTTTGCCCTTTTTGCAACAGGGCTGGAAAAATGCCGTCTACTCCAGGTGATTTGAACGATTGAAATGAGTCGATCGCCCAAGCCAGCCGCTGCGGAGTGCAAAGGTTCTTGGCAACCTCCCAGATTTCTTGCCTGGTTTTCCTTTGCCGTTCTTTGTTTTCTTCAGTACCATTGGGTATACTTCCTGGAAAATGGATTTCCAGTAGTAGAGCAGCTCGTTGCTCTTCATTTTCTGTATAACTGCCGTCTGGTTTCTTAAGTGTCAATGGTCCTTGCGCCCTGCCTTTTGCCAGGGTTTTCTATAGTCTGGCTGCTGATGATGTTTCTGTGATAGATTCACAGAAGTTCTGGAAGTTTTTCCGTTTGGCCTTCCATAATTCTCTGTTGTACTCAGTCAGCCTTTCGGTGTAGCCCTGCCATTTTCCGTCCCGTTTGGCTCTGTTAAAGAGACAGCGAACCTCGGATCTAAGTCGTGACAGGTGACTATTTCACCATGGGCAACCTTTTTTGTTTACTTGTTCCTTCACAGGACAACTGGATTCGTATGCCTCCATGATTGCTCCGTTAAGGATTTGAAGGGTTTCTTCTACTTCACGTGTGTTCCTGCAGCTAACCTTATTTTGTTTGAGGTTGCGTTGCAGTTTGCTTGTGTATTCTTCCCAGTTTGTGTTTCTGGGGTTTCTATACGAGGCAGTTCGTTCCTGCACTCCTTTTACTTCAAATATTATGATTCTATGATCAGAGAGAGAGGGTTCATTCGAGACTCTCTCCAATTCCTGATCATTTGGTCAATATTTGGACTACAAAGTGTTATGTCTAACACCTCCTGTCTGACCCTAGTAACAAATGTTGGTGTATTCCCTACATTTAGTATATTCAGGTTTGTTTGAAAGATAAATTCTAACAGTTGCTCACCTCTTAGGTTTGTGTCGGTACTTCCCCAGATAGTGTTGTGGGCGTTGGCATCACAGCCAATTAGGAGCGGTAGTTTTTTCCTGTTGCAGTACTCTCTGTACTTCTTCTGGTGGTGCTTGCCCATCCTCAGCGGAGTAGCCCGATGCCAGTACTAGGTCGCGGTGTGGTGGGTCGGTGGTAAGTTTAACCCGAACCGTAACCAAGTCCCGCGACGTAAATTCTGAACATAAATGATTAATATTTTCATTCAGGAGAATGCATGCTCTAGGGTCGTTACACCGACTGTCCCAGATTATTTAGCTGTCTTAGTACCTCTTCATTGCTGGTATGTGCGGTCCAAGGGATTTTGAGGATTCTTCGATAGCACCACATTTCAAACGCTTCTATTTTGTTCATGGTGTCAGCTTTAAGCGCCCATGTCTCACATCCGTACAAGAGAATGCTCCATACTTAACAGCTGAGTGTTCTTAATCGCGTCTCGACTGTGAGGTTTCTATTGGTGAGAGTTGGTTTCCATTTATTAAATGCCCTACGAGCCATTTCAATCCTCGCTCTTACCTCTTCGTCGCACGTAGCTTGACTGTTTAGCCAGCTGCCCAAGTATTTGAAATATGGAACTAAATAGTTCAATGTTCAATGTTGTGTCCGTTGATTGTAATCGGAGTTGGTTCGCCTACGCTCATCCATTTCGTTTTTTTGATGTTTATATTAATTCCCCATCATTGACTAGCCTCATGCACTCTGTATATAGATACGGTCTTGATATTTTGGTAGGTACCTAATAATTTTTTAAGTTTTTGATCCAAAGGCTTTTGGTGGATTGTCTTAGTAATCTGTTGTGTTTTTGTACTTCTTTACCAGATTTAAATTCCATGCAGACAGGGACTCTCATTGCTCCGAGCATGCTTTTGCTCCTTTATGTCTGTGGGATCCTGGACTCTTCATTTGGATGTTATTCACTACTTTTCCTTCATGTCCTCCGAACACTTTATTTTTTGACATATTATCAAAAAACCAACGTGAAAATGTAGTAGGCTTCAAATCTATACTGAGCAAACATTGTAATAAATTCCTAAAAATCTTCAATAGTACAAGTTAAAATTAGAATGTGAATACTTCATAGCTAAAATTTTCGCGGTTGCAAGCCTGCGTTAAAATAATGCGCGCTAATTAAAACCTATACACAAACTAGTAAAACGACTGACATTGTAAATATAATATAACCTAGGTTAATGTAAATTGCATTTTATTTTGAGTCTGTTGCATCGAAGGTTAGGCGCCGGCCGTTTAACCAATGGCATTAGTTGTAATGATGATCGAATTAGTTCCGACGTTAGTTAGTCGCAAAGTTATTAACAATAAGCAACCTTAATATCGGGACGTTGAGTCCGGTCTCGTAGCCATGTAGACTGTCCATCAATAATTAATTAATATTAGAACCAATACTGTTTGGGTCATGTATGTACATGACATTTGAATTTTGGATAATGTGGATGGTAAGTGAGCATAAAGTTCTGTTAAGATTCTGCAATATAATTAGTGTTATGTTATGGGGTTTTATTATAATTAAACTATGACTTACTGAACTTTGTTAGTAGATACGCTAATTATCTAAGTGGCTAACAAAATTTTAGCGAAATAATATAACAAATCCTGTGTTGAACAGGCATAACAAAATGTATCTAATTATGTACCTACTCGTTTGTAACACTGTGGCATCTTCGAAAACAGTAGTTCAAAACTCGAGCTTTATTAGCCCATAGATTTTTTTTCCAAATTTTTATGATGCTAGTGCTAATTTAGCTGGAAAACTGAGTTCACTGAGAGAATTTTCACAAAAACATTGACAGCTTTGCATAGGTCCTAATAATTTTTAAATAGTTATTTTCCTAACAAGTGCGCAAAGTGATACTTTCCCGCACGAAAAAGCAGTTAGACGAACGACGCGAAGCGAAGTTCGGATAAGCTTTAAGTGCGGGAAAGACACTTTGCGCAAGTGTTAGGAACAATATTTTTTCTACGAGTATCTTAAAAAAGTAGACTTTGAATTATTAAAATACTAGAAAAATCAATCAAATCAAAATCTTCAAAAATCGTTTGAAATCTATTGGAATTTCTCAAAATGTCTATTAATAAATCCCCAAAAATCTTTTAACATCTTCTGGAATTTCTAGAATACCAGCTAGAATATTTTCAAATATTAAAAATTCATCAAATTCTCAGCTGTACAGGCTGGTCCAATTTGGACACCTTTGATAGGAAACATCTCGTTAACTAAGCGCTAATTTCAACTAAAACCCTTCATTTTGAATATTAGTTTATTCAGAAACCATCAAAACATTGAAAAATCAAGTGTAGCTATGGTAATTATGCGTAACAAAAATGAGTGCGCAAACAGTTTCCGTGCGCAAAGTTGAACTTTGCGCACGCAAATGAGTGTGCAAAGTGATTACTTTGCGCTCGCAAGTAGAAAAATTTTTTTTCGATAACTCTGACTCTATATAAGGTGAAGGATAGAGTTTAATTCTGGAAAAGTGTTTTTATTACTTTAAATTTGAAATTTAATATTTGACATAACATTTTTCTCTTCTTTCAGGAATTATGACCCTTACGCGTACCCCGTGTGAGCTCGACAAGATGAGCCTTTTCCAAGATCTGAAACTGAAAAGGAGAAAGGTCGATTCAAGATGCAGCAGTGACGGTGAGAAACGAACAAATTTAGCTGGTTTATTGTATAATTATAATTAAGTTTTTTACCAAACATTGTGATTTACAAAGGTGTTTTGTTCTTGAAGTAAAAGAAAACCTCTACACCATTTCAACCTCAATTTCGGAAAAAGTAACTTTTATTTAGGAAAATGTAAAGTAATTTTTGGAAAAAGTCAAATCAATTTCAGAAAAAGTAAATTTAATTTCGGAAAAAGTAAATTCAAATTCGGGAAAAGTAAATTGAAATTCGGAAAAAGTAAATTCAAATTCGGAAAAAAGTACATTCAATTATGGAGAAAGTAATGTTAGTTTTTAGAATAATTCGAATTGATAAAAAGTTAATTTAGCAGTGACTATAAACCCGTCGAACCCGTAGCCTGACACTTTAATTTGGTTCTACATATACTGGTTCTTCATATATTATTTTGTAGGTCTGATAATGTTCATATGAGCGAAACACATGTCACTGTTGAGTGAATAAAATAATAAACAATCTGTAGACTTGGTAATTTTTTTCTTTCTTTTATTGTTTAAAAATCGGGACTCTTTGAGAAATATGGACAAATTTTTTCATTTTCAAAATAGATAACTGACTCAATCAATTCAAATTATTCTAGAAAAAATAACATTACTTTCTCCGTAATTGAATGTATTTTTTCCGAAATTTAATTTTGAATTTGCATTTTCCGAATTTGAATTTACTTTTTCCGAAATTAACTTTACTTTTTCTGAAATTGATTTGACTCTTTCCCAAAATGACTTTACATTTTCCTAAATAAAAGTTACTTTTTCCGAAATTGAGGTTGAAATGGTGTACATACAGATTGTTTATTATTGTATTCCTGACCTACAAAATAATATATATAGAACCAATATATGTACATAGAACCTAATTAAAGTACAGTGATTGGAATTGAATCCGTCCGGGTATACGGGTTCGACCGGAGGTATATAGTTTATAGTCATTGCTAAGTTTACTTTTTATCAATTCGAATTATTCTAAAAAATAACATTACTTTCTCCGTAATTGAATGTAGTTTTTCCGAATTTGAATTTACTTTTTCCGAAATTTAATTTTTTCTGAATTTGAATTTACTTTTTCCGAAATTAACTTTACTTTTTCTGAAATTGATTTGACTTTTACCGAAAATGACTTTACATTTTCCTAAATCAAAATTACTTTTTCCGAAATTGAGGTTGAAATGGTGTAGAATACAGGCTTTAATAAACTCAGAATATTACTATGAATTTTTACGCTTTATTTAGAATGACGTCAAATTTAGTAAATTTCTTCTGCCAACCTAATAAAACTAAAAGTACTTTTGAACGCATTTAAAGTGGGGGAATTTCAGATGTTTTTGGTTGGCAACGGCGCGCGACGTTGCATGACTTGTATAAACATTTTCATTTCGTTATTTTTAGCTGTCGTCAGAATTATTGACACATGTCATTCTGGTAAATTATAAGAAAAAAAATAGGCATTGACAACATTGTCTGTCCTTGTTCGATGACGTCATCCTAAATATAACATAAAAAACCCATATACGAAGCATATAACTAACATTGACAAACTGTCAAGGTTGACAAATAATAAAGTTAGCAAGATATAAAATACAGGACATTTATTTCTAAATATATAACATTCACCCCTAGTCGGTTTTATAATCTTTCAAAAAGACAGGAGGCTTCTTTTGACGTTTTGGTCGGTTCAAGGAATAGTCAGTTATATTTTCTACATCGCCTAGATTCCTTAATGGTATTTCAGGTATCCCATCAAGATTTCCAGCATCAGAATCGTTGTATTTGAGTTGTTGAATAGGATCTGGTTCACTACATTGGTCGTTGTTCTGATCATTAGGTTCGTTTCTATATGTTCTACATTCTACATTCGTATCTTCATTCGACGTTTCTTGATGCAAAGCAGAATTTCCTCTTGGCGCAAGGTAGCGTGTTGACACAGTTATTTTTTTACCATAAGCTAATCTGATATGAGCATAATCAGAGTTAGCTTCTAGGAGTTGCACTTCTGCCACGCTTGGTTCATACTTGCTTTGTCTTACATGCTTCTTTAGGAAGACTGGACCAGGAATACTGAACCAGGTTGCAGCTGAAGAACCATCATTTGTAGATCTTCGAGGATGACAGAACATTCTTTCATGCGGTGAACAATTTGTAAGAAATGTAAACAATCGACCAGTACCTGCTGCCAATGTTTTATATCCATGTTTCTTGATTTTAGAGCTAACTGAATGTTTTCCATATTACCATTATACCGTTCGCATCAAAACATTCTGCCGCCCAATCTAGCCATATCCCGGAAATCTGACCTATCAAATTCGATGTGGCCATTTTGAGCGGCATAATGTTACTACATGGGCTAGATCAGGGGTCAGAATGTCTGGACGGCCTGTTGTACTTGTGCGTTAGAAGTGCCCCATGTTTTGTTTATTTCCCGCTCATTGCTCTACTGAAATTTATGCGAAGACATTTCAATATTTATTCATGATGGAGATGAATGTGATGAAACTACCCAAAAATAATGCAAAGAGCACATAATTTGCCATTCTCCAAAGATATTGTATTTGTTGACAGTAAATCATCCTGCGATGCACTAAATCATTGTTGAACGTTTTTACTGATTACGACGTGATATCTTCATATTTTAGTAACAAGCTTATTCAGAAAATTGAAAAGGGGAAGGAAATTGTACAAAAACGTGTAGTCTTTGGAAAATTTAGAACTTAAATTTTTAATCATTAGGTATTCAGATTTTGCTAAATCTAAATTTAGTAACCCCTTATATCCAAAATGGATATATTTCTTAATTCCTCCGTTTCAATCAAAAAACTAACAATTTAATCAATATATTTATGAAAAAAATCCATGGGGAATTAAAGAACATCTTAATTTCTGAATTGTATAACACGTAAAAAAAGACAGTCACAGATTTTTTAACATCAAACATTGTTAAATTTAATACTTATGCTCTATCGCCTGTAACATTCTGACCCTGAATCTAGCCCATGCAATAACATTCTGACCCTTTAAATAGCTCTATCATCGTTCCGACATTCTGACCCTTGATGCAGCGCATTTAGTAACATTAGGCCACCCAAAATAGCCGCAACGAATTTGATTGGTCAGGTTTCCGGGCTATGGCTTTATTGGGTGGCAGAATGTTTTGATGCATACCGTTCACACTGCCCGTTTCCTTGCGGGTTATAAGGAGTAGTGCGACTAGTTGCAATCCCATGTCGTGTTAGGAAAGTTTTCAGTTCTTCAGACATAAATGATGTCCTTCTATCACTATGCAGGTACGATGGTGTCCCAAAAACAGAAAAAAGTTGAGTTAAACAATTTATAATAGTTGATGAGGCCATGTCAGGACTAGCAAAGCCAAATGGAAATCTAGAAAATTCATCCACAATAGTCAAAATATAGCGGTTTCGGTTCTCAGATGGCAATGGACCTTTAAAATCTAAACTCTATTTAACCAAAGTTGAACGTTGAAGGTCACTTACTCGAATATATCACAGACGTTGCTTTTTGCTGCTGTCTTTATTGCACGCGCACTATGTTTATCAAACCAAAATAGGTCCGAACGTGTGAACCCTATGGTTATAAGGATGAGTGAGTGACCTTCAACGTTTAACTTTGGTTAGACAGAGCAGTTTACATTTATTCTTTCGAAAGGGGCAGTAGCTTTTATGATGGTCCCTTGATTTCTATGAAATTTTGGTTTGATCTCAGCACAAACGGGACTGATGGCTGAAATTCTCTTGATATCGTCTAGTGAAAAAGGTGTAGATTCTTACATCACCCAGTGATACAGTCTTGTTATACCAAGATGACAAAGAGAATTATGTAGATTATACAATGTTTTGTCACTAGAAGAAGGTAAAATCGCAGAAGATATTCTTGAAAATGTATCTGCCACGATATTTTCTAAATATATTACAGTTTTTTTTTAGAATATCATTTAATAATGATTAATTAGCTAATGTGCAAAAAAAAAAACATCCGCTTATTTTGAATTTTTATCAAACTAAGGGTCGGTTTATTCACGTTCTGATAAACTGTCAATTATGCAATCTGACGGATAAAAATCAAATCTGTAATCCCATTGCTCCACCAGTTATCCACTGACCTATAGAATTAAAGAACGGTAAACTTATTTTGCAGATAGTTACCAGCAAGTTTATCTGAAGATGAATAAACCAGGCCTATACTCATTTTTCTTTAGAGGATTTTCTTAGTTGAAATAGTATCAACCAGATTTCCCAAATTCTGTCCAGGTGAATCTGATTCTACGTTTAATCTCTGGCGCTTATTTTTTTGCACCAACTTCAATCACATGTGCGAGATTTATCATGAATAAACTTATACATTGGTCTTCGTCTCCTACTCCATTCGTTGCCTCACTTTTGCTCATTATCTATGTCTTGGATAAATCATTTCAAACCTATGTTAAATTACTTATTCTTAAATAGTGGAAAGTGGTCAGTGATTCATATAAACTTCATCAACGCATACGCCTTGTTTTCCTACTGCAATGTTTCAAATACATCCCCTTATGCCAGAGGATGAATAGTTGTAGAGATATAAGGTAACCCTGTCAGACCACTTTATTCACTTAAATTTTATTTGTCATTTTATCTTCATTTATTTTCGTATGGAAATTGGCATTGCTGTATATTATATTCTTCAGAATGAGCTTATCTGTCCATGGCTTCTCGAACTAGAAACTTCCAAGTCTAAATAGGAATCGAAGGCCTTAAGTCTAGAAAGTCTCAATACAACGGAACCTATACATATTGTATTTGTTTTTTGTTCAGCGAAAATTGTGATAGTCTGATTCTGTTCTCAAGTGCTGTAGCCCGTATGGATATCCGTCTGTTCTGTCTGAAAAAAGCCTTTTGGTTAGTAGTGCGACTGTAAATTATTCTGTTCTTCTCTAACGAGAGGTTTGATCTAGTCAACTTGTATTCGAGTAAAATTCTCTTCCTGCTTCTATCGATTTGGTATTATCGGCCTTCACATCTTTTCTATACATGTATTATCTTGACTGGTTACAGTGTATTAGACTTTATTCGGTTTCTCTACAAGTTGGCTTACATTTAGGTTGCGTATATTTCCAATAGGCTCAAATGTCCATTACCGATTAGCTTGTGAATTTTAAATTGGTAGATAATGTTGCTCTAATAAGTCAAGAGTTTCGTTGCTCTAACCCGAATCATCCAATGTTGCCAATCTTCTTCCATTTTGCTTCCTAAATTAGCATCACCAATGACTCGGCTAAATGATGATTAATAGAGTTTTTCTTTTTCTTTGTTCTGTCCTCAACAAATTCCCGCATTTCTTTAACCTCTGATGCAGTTGTCGTGGCATATCTGGTAATTATTTGAATAATGTACCGTTTGCTAACTCAATGTAATCGTGTTTCTGCCCTACGAAGTCTTATTTCAATTAAGCCAGTTCTTTTTCCAAATGTTCAGATGTGCTCTAGGTGTACTAGTCCCCTTCGGTAGAATTCTTTTCTGAAATAAAAAACTGCTATACCGGTGTGGGGAATATATGGGCCTGAACCGTTTCTTGCCTTTTTTACTTTATAATCTTCTCATCACAATATCTAATTTGTAATAAATCTTTTGCGCGTAATATTCATAACAAACAAGTCAATACAAATACCCACTGAAACGGATTTGACGCCATAATGTCTGGTAAACCGGCAAACTTGTTCATGCCGTTCTCCTAGCCAGTCACCTATGAGCGTGCTATTGTCTCTATTGACATGCGCTTGGTGCTCGAAACTACAATACTTAATTCAAATTTTGCATATTTAATTTTTTACTTATCAGATTTCAATAACAATATGCAACTTTGCCATTTACTAAGAACTCATACCGATTCGCAGTCGGGTTTATAATTAGCTCAATTTCTTCCAAATAAATGTGTCTTACTTCTGAAGAAAAGCTTGACTGATGAGCTGAAAGTTTCTTTTCAACTTATCAGTTATTTTATGATCTCCCTGCATCTATTGACTATTTTCAAGTATTTATTAAGATTAAGAAATTTAATCAACAAAAAAATTATCAAACCAGTTTAAATAAACCTAGTGTATAGGTAGCCATGAGCAAAATTTCATTTTAGGTAATAACTCTGTCCGCTTCTAGGCGAATCGGTCGCCGATACCAGCACGTCATCGCCAGATCTCGTCATCCCGTCGTCACCCAAAATGTCGGACGCCGTGCTCAATCCGCCCAGTCCAGATTCGACGCCCATCCACACTCAGATGATCAAACCTGAGCCCACACTGGACAAGGTATCCAACAGACTTGAAGATTCAGGAGTGTTCGACGGAGGTGGTGGTCCGGTTTCAGCGCCAATAGGACCAGTAACCACTGCCAGTGTCATTCGAAGTTTGAGAAGTCAAAGTCCACCAGCTTTACGACCAGCACCACCATTCAGTCCATCCCTACCGCCTCGCCCGCATAGTTCACCTGGTAGACCGGCTAACACAAGTCCTGTGATCAAACATACGCCTCTCTTGCTTCATCATCCCACCACACCGAGTCCGCCTAGGAACCTTACACCAACATTGCTTTCCGGTTCTGAATCTTCATCAGCTTCAAATTCATCATCGTTTGCCGCGCAATCACGACAAAGAGGTGTCATTATTAGTCAGCCCCAAGCCGCTTTAGTGCAAAGCCAGTTATGGTTAAAGCACCAACGAATCAACGGAGTAAAGCCAGAACTGATAGGGGGCAGCTTCGGAACGCAATCACCAACGCACGTTCCAGATTTACGATCACCAGGCAGTCCGATTTCGAGGACAACTACTACGCAACCAGTGCGACAAACACCTACTGTTATCATGGGAGAAGCTGGCGGAGTACGTACCATGATCTGGTCGCAACCAGCTATGTGTAATACTCCAACTTCGCCAACTGGTTTAGAGCCGCCATTGTTTCCTACAACATCCACATGGTCTCCTGCAGGAAGCCCTCTAACAAATCCAGAAGAGAGTGCTGCGCAAATGCTTTTGAATCTAGGCCAGGATAACCGATTAGGACGAATACCTGTAAGCAGATCCATGATCTCACCTCAATCGCCTTCCCAATCAGCTCCATCCATGTCTCCAGCTCCTTTAAACATGGAAAGGCTTTGGGCAGGTGATCTTCGTCAAATTCCTTTATCGCAACAAACTCAGGCCCTGAATCTCACCTCACCTACAGGTCTAGGACCTCCGAGTTTATTTCCTAGTACCCCAGATTTAAGACTGGTCGGATTAGGTCTTGAGACCAGCACAGGTAATGAACAGCAGGAACAGGGCGAAGAAGAAGAAACACCAATGATTTGTATGATCTGTGAAGACAAAGCTACGGGATTACATTACGGAATAATAACGTGCGAGGGCTGTAAGGGGTTCTTCAAACGGACAGTTCAGAATCGGAGAGTGTACACGTGCGTGGCGGATGGAAATTGTGAGATTACTAAAGCCCAAAGGAATCGGTGTCAGTATTGTCGATTTAAGAAGTGCATAGAACAGGGAATGGTTTTACAAGGTGATTGTTTTTTTTTTTTTAATGTTCTTTGCATTTCATATAAGTAAATTTGTGTTTTTAGCGGTACGAGAAGACAGAATGCCCGGCGGAAGAAATAGCGGAGCTGTATATAATTTGTACAAAGTGAAATATAAGAAGCATAAAAAGCCTAATAAGACGGCGATGAAGAATCAGGAGAAAAGCATACAGCAGTTTAAAGCGGAGCAGCAACAGCAGCAGCAACAACAGCAACAGCCTGCAGGGATACCATCGAATTTAGGTAAATAACATAATCTTAATTATTATTTATTTTGGTTTTTGGATTCACAATAATGTATGGATGAGAATGTTTGAGCTATCGATCTTCTTCAGGCCCATAATTATTTTTCTTTCGCTTGGCAATAAATTTTACCAGATTAATACTTTGTGTAATACCATTTTTGTGGTGTAGAGTTGGTATTTCTTTTTCTAGGTGGAAAGTTGTGAAATTAATTATTGGTGTGGTGTGATAATAGACAGCAATTTTACTGTTCATAGGCGCAGTCAAACCTGATTCTTCTGGTAGGTCGGCCCACTCAATCTTTGCCTTGCACCTTACTGAGGATCTCCCCATTAACCTGTTCCATACTTTTGCCATGTAAATTGATAATGTGAGATGTGTACCCAAAACGAGATTTTATAACGTTCATGAAAAAAGCTGCTAGCCCCTATCCCCTTAAATTTCATAGACTCTACAATTCAAGTCGTAAGCGTGTTACGCCTATTACCAATTTTGCATAGTTGAGTAATGAATAGTTTGCTATTCGAAAGTTATAGTTTTCAAGCATGGGAAGTATGTGAGTAGTGCATGGGCTTCTTTGTGGATCAATTTCAATTGAGAGGGTATGGGCTGGTGGGATAAGGGGTATAGTTTGTCTGTCAATTTAACCTTTATTTGTAATGGCAATATATATGTTTTATGTTTCCATAGTGGTTCGGGATATTGTTCTCTTTTGAATTAATTCTTCGATCTTACTTAAATCCAATTTTGAGGCATTTATATCATGTCTTATACCAAGAAGGGCGGCTCCTCCTCTCGTCACGTTCATAAATATCCAAGCTACGATTTTTTCTGTAGGCTACATTGTTATCGTTAAATAGCTCGTGGTCATAAACCCCGTCCTGTAACCATGTTTTAGTAACCACCACATTTCCACAATGAGACACGGCTTTTAAAAAAGTATGTGTTTTGTCATTCAAGCCCCTGCTATTTTGGTAGGTATTTGTCGTGTGTTGCTGAAATAACCCACAACAGGTTTAATTTTTATAATTTATAATTTAATATATCTCAATTTCTATTATTTACCATAAAAATAATATTCTAAAAATAGATGCTATTGCTGGACTATTTATCCTGTAAAACCGGCAACAACAACCCTTTGAACCGGTAAAACTGCAGGTTTCTTCATTACCTTATAAAGTAGTGAACCTGTCTCGCCGCTGTGATTGGTCAGGCGCCACACAAAATCCCTAGTTTTTGCGACCTGCTTCCCTGGCAGAGTCTAGTCGACGCACATTCTTCAGTACTATTAGGATAAGCGAAGAGTTCGCACCCTCGCGCTCTCTGAATGCTCCCCAGAAGCAAAACCCCCAAAACCCCCGTTAGTACGCGCGATTTTTAGTAAAATACTACTCTCTGTGTCTCAAGGCCTGACATGGTCTATATTATTTATTACAATTCATGTAATTAACCCCTAATTGTTGCAAGTCACCTCGGACGAGCAAAATTCTCTCGTACGCGCTTGTCTTTTGGCTCTCTCTCACTCTCGACGGGCTCCAACGCGCTTGTACTTATATCGTTGTGTTTTCAAGTTTTCATCTCATTGGAAAATTCCCTAGCTGCCAGTGTGAATAGTGATAAATGGATAAATAATCGCCTTGTGGATTTATCTGCATGAACCGGATTAAGCAAGTAAGACCGTTACAATTTCTCTAACAGTCGAACAATAAATACTGATTAGTGATTCGCTTGAAATGCACTATAATTTGAAGTTTCTTCTAACGTTTAATGCAGAAATTTCATCATCATCGTGACGGCCGGTAATAATCTTGGGCAGCCCATTTTTATAAATAATTTTCAATTCTTCGCGTTCGCTGATTGATAGGTGAGCCAGGCTAAGATCACCTAGTTTTTCTTTAGAGTTACACATTATTTCATGAGCTATGCGATGAGAGTTGCAGATTACTATTACAGGCCTATTTTTCTCAGTAACTTCCCAGTCTAAATGCTTGAATGCCTGTAACACCAATCTGGGGACCCTGGACTGTATGAAGCACTGTAGATTAAAAAAAAAAAAAATGTTTTTTTGTGTTACAGTCAACGGCACAATCCTGAAAACAGCTTTAACCAATCCCAGCGAGGTGATCCGGCTGCGGCAGCGGCTGGACAGCGCAGTGTCCAGTTCGAGGGACCGTAACTTTTCTGTGGACTACGCGCTGTCCATGATCAAAACTCTGATCGACTGTGATGAGTTCCAGGACATAGCGACGCTACGAAATCTGGACGAGTTGCTCGACCACAACACGGACCTTAGCGAGAAATTGTGCAACATTGGCGATTCGATAGTTTATAAATTAGTGCAATGGACGAAGAGGTAAGAATTTTAGACCAAGCCTATAAATATTATGACTTCAAATCTTGAATAAATACTTGTAATTTGAATTTGAGGAAATTATAGCTTTCACTGCGTTTTGGAAAAGGATAAGTATGGAATATATCTGCGCTAGGCAAAATGACATATTCATTTTTGAGTTTTGAGCTTCCGTAATATGATGTGATGAGATATAAATTCCTATATTATGACAATGTGTTCTCCAAAAATGTCAATCTTCAAATGTGTTTAAAGGGCTTAGAAGAAATGTCAGTTGAGTTGTGGACATGAAGTGTTGGTCAAATATTTCACCGATGCCTATTTCAATTCTAATTTAAAATTGTGTAGAAACATGCACTTCTGTTTCAGCCTCCGGACAAAAACACCAAATTGATGTCATACAAACCTCAAACGATTATTTGCTGAAAACCCGTCAGGTCTTTTGTTAAAAAAAAAAACTTCCATTCGATGTTACTGTGACATAATCACGTTATTAGCCAGTATTGTGAAACTTTGAACAACAACTTCTTGATACACTGTTAGGAAGTTTATGCTTATTCTACCAAGAATATTTCCTGATGGTCAGCTTGTGATGTTTTTCTTATAATATTCAATAAAGCCTCTATCGAACACGTCTACATATAAAATGAATACTTCATTCTGTCTAGCACGGTATTTGTAAAAGTTAGGGTACCTAGATGTAATTCACCAGAAATTATTCAACTTTTTCCCACCAGATTTTTTAATTAAAATTCGTTTCAATGTTTCATCTGAAGTCCATGCAATGTTGATGTTCTCGCCCCGTTTAGGCCAAGAGAAAGCATTTAGCATGTGAATGATTGTTATTGATAAGTCTGTTCTCATCAAATAAAACTCAACTGAGCGTCAACCTCAGAATTATAAATCCAGTGTAATTCACTAAAAATCACAAATCCTTCAGCGAGCAGATATCTCAAATGATCCAACAACAATTCACAATTAAACTTATCTCATTTGTGCTGAAACATATTACCTATATATTGTACTCCTGTCTAGGTTCCTGTACCTAGTGAGTATACTATTACCACTTGCCATACTTGCCCACCGTTATCCATTTACAGACTACCTTTTTACCTGGAACTGCCCGTTGAAGTCCACACGCGGCTGCTGACGCATAAATGGCACGAGCTACTCGTGCTTACCACGTCAGCTTACCAAGCCATTCAAAAGGCGGCCAACGAGCAACAGGTGCAGCAGCAGACGTCTACCACGCTCATTGAACCGGACTTTAACCAGGAGGTAAGCAACATTTATCTAGATATTTTCCGAATAGGAATCAAATGTAAAATCAATGTATTTTTAATACATCCGGGTCATCGATGAAGCATCAGAAATGTGTCCAGAGAATTGAAGTCGATCTAAATTTGTTGTTTCACTATGATTCGTGGATCATGAACACACAGCAGCAATTTCCGATAAACTAACACATCAAATGAAAATAGCGACGGTCGAGTTCGTTTCCGTAAACGAACGAGTACCATTGAGAAATGTCTTTAAAGTTGAGCTTCTAGGATGTGTTTGAATTTGCCGGTTTCCTAAGGGTTCAAAAATGGTTTGATGTGACTATTTTATAATTGGTTACTTCTAAGCTATGCGGAACTCAATTTTTGATCCGTTCTAATTTGGAGGCTTTTCACAGGAACTCCTTCACGCTGTTCATCAATTTTTAAGTAGTGCTTGTATTGAGCTGGGCATGGTCGCCTGGATAAGGCATATACGTTGTCCCGCAGTTCACTAAAACGAAGTTTGATTCGAGAATTGTGGAGTGATCCAAATTTTCCAGACCCATTGAAGGCACTGGGTAAATTACCATTCAGTCTTTGCTTTCTTTGAAGTAGCCTGATTGCTACCGGTATCATTCTTACGTATTCCTTCCAGAAGTTTCATTGTGGCGTCATTTCTTTTTCTTCTTGTATTGACACAGCTCAGATCTTTGATTCGGATATCTTATAGGAGAGGTACTTTGATTTCTAGGGCTGTGATTAGAACTTCGCTACTATGCTTGGTTATAAGCAGTATTCTCTGAACATCCATATTTCGAATTCCATTAAGCAATTTTCGGCCGCTACTAGTTCTCGGATTTCTTCCGTTACTTCCGGGTGAGTCAAATTAACCAGGCGATAGATATTGGGCTCAAATTTTTGTAAACTTTCGACAGTATTCTGTTGTCTTACTTTAGGTATATCTGGTAAAGCTTTGGTTTGTGTTGATCCCCGATCTTCATAACGATGTTCATAATAGACGGAAAGTCCTATTTAAAAAAATGGAATAGATACCGGCACAGCTGTTCTATGATCGATATCGTCCTATACGAGAGATGTCGATCGACTTAGAAATTTCACACCGTCTGCCTGGACAAGAATTTGTCTCTGAGGCTACTAATGCTGATCTTCCCACTATTAAGGCAAAGTCCATTTTTCTCGCTCCATGTAGAAATAGCTCTGGTACATCTGTTAGCTTCCTGGCAAAAAGTCTCATAGTCAGACAGCAGACGCATCATCTATGAAAAGAGAGACGTATTTGTCATTGAAATGCTAACCCGCCACTTTCACGCTTGACTTCTGTCAGACAAATATGAGCGGAAGTCATTACCAAAAATGTTCAAACACTATCCGCGTGTGGCTGAATTCAGCTGGTGTAGGCACCTTGGTGGAATGGTACAACAAGCAGTGTTGTTAAATTAAACAGAATTTGACAAGCTGTGGTTTGGCATTGGCATTAGTGAGTTTTAATCACCACATCCGTGGCGGTGCACCATTTTGTTGAATTTAGCAACACGCGGTATGTCAAACACTTCTGAATAGAAAGATAGAACATCAGAATATTTTAATGAAAAAAAAAAATGAGTACCTAGTCCTAAAACTTTGTATTGGTAATATTACGTTTTTGATTACAGCTGCATTGCAATTTCAAATATTCTTTCCAGAATATTTTAAAATTTAAAAATCTCCGACGTCATTACCTCGTCCCAATGCAATTTCCCAGCTAATTTAAAAGTCTGTTATCGATAGTTTATTCTGTCCCAATTTTTTTTTTAAACGCAGAAATGCATAACAAAACGCTGAGCATCGTCAGTAGCGCATCGCAGAGCGCAGTCCAAGGCCTCAATTTCGTCCCAATTTTCTGCTATTCACCTTTTTGCCGATCCGCTCGTAAACAGTAAACAAGTCCTTGTGAATTTTGACCTAAATTTTCTTCTATTATCATCTATTATTTGCAAATCGGACTTCATAAAAATATATGGAATGGTAGTAGGTCGATATTTTAAAACTGACGCTAGTGACGCTCATCGTTGCTACTAACTAGTCAAGTTGAAATTGGGTCAACGTCTACGTCCTAGAACTGTGGGGTAAATGCACTCGTTAAGGAGGACGGACGTCGTCTATATTCATGCGTCTTTTTATGTTACCCACTTTGGATGGCGTGAACAATTTATTATGCAATTCAGCGGCGTTTCACCGGGAAAATATTCCTTTTTGAATACATTATTCCAATTATTAGAGGAAAATTTAAATAAATTAGGGTATGATAATAAATTCATTTACATAAAATTCATCAAGCACAAATGCAAAGAACTTTTGGAAAAACACGGAAAAGAAAAGTTTTTTAAAGGTTTGACTAGGTACCTACCTACTCCAATGTCCAATAGAAAACTTTTCATTGAATCCAACCTACTACAATTTTTGCAAATGGATGTTTCTGATTATTAGTTCATAATGCATTATATTGTTTGTTAGAGGGAGAACCCAAGTAGTACCATAACGTTGCATAAACGCCGTATCACACGACCTGACATGAAGTCATAACGATTCAAGATTATTTTTTCAAACTTTCCACCGCTCTGATTTTCCAGCGTCGTGCTTTCCACCGCTGGTCTTGCGTCAGACTTCTTATTCCAGGATTGAGGTACATGAGATGTTATGTAAATACATAAAGGTAAATCGTACTGCCAATACTTTTCAAGATAAAAATGTGTAGCAGCCTCCCGTACTATCAGCTATTAGTATGTGAAAAAAAAAACCAACCGTACAGAAGTGAAAGCTTCATTCATTGGAAAAGTAATTTTTGAAACATCATCTAAAGCTTTATTTTAATTTTTTTCCCATCCAATTTATTCAATAACAAGTAATTCAAATTACCTATTTATCGTTTAATGCAAATCACTCCAGTTGAATGAATTCATAAACTAAAAAATGAACCGGCCTTACCAAAAAGAAACCAAAATCAACCGGCTGTGACTAAGCAGCAAAAGCAGCCAGCACCTTTCAGTGCCATGGTACCATGAACACCACACACAAAAAGTGAAAACTTCTAAGGTCAAGTCATGTACCTACACGGTACGCCGTTATAGTCGTCTATCTAAAGAATCACGAAGACTTTTACTTTCGAGCTCTTGCCAGCAGCAGACATTAGAAAACGGTACCGGCATGCCATGATGGCATGGTAATCTATTACCCTATTACGTTTTACATAACGGTACAACGCTCTCCTTTTCTGTGGATTGTGCAACGGCTGACGGATCGGTACTTTTTCAGACTTTTTTTTTGACCGATGCCAGTAACGGACTGGGAGGATGATTTTAGATAATAATCTCTTAAAATGACGTTGATGACAATTCAATTGAAGCGATACCGCTAAATATCACACCACCCCGATGATAAGGAAAAAAAAGGCGAGGCAATAGATGCCAATGTTCCCACATAGTTTTTGATAATAATAACAAAGAAGGAGGTCATAGTTGAGTTAGGATTATCCTAAATAATACTTAGTAACAAAAAGTTTCTTGATTTTTCTAGGTGGAAACCAACTTGTGCACCTTACAAAACTGTTTGACGTCGATGATGGGACGGGAGATAACGATAGAACAGCTAAGGCAAGATGTGGGACTGATGATCGAAAAAATCACTCATGTAACTCTCATGTTTCGACAGATTAAACTGACTTTGGAGGAATATGTGTGCCTTAAAGTTATCACAATGCTTAATCAAGGTAAGAAAATTATTTTGAATCGGTGTGCATTTATATTTTGATAAAAAATTATCTTTTTTAGAAACTTTCATTTAAATTAGATTGTGTTTCAGCAAAACCGAGCAGTGGTTCGACCAACAATGAACTGGAAACCATCCATGAGCGATATATGACTTGCCTACGTGTTTACACACAACACATGTATCCTCAGCAAACGACCAGATTTCAAGACTTACTAGTTAGATTACCTGAGGTAAGTTCGACAATCTGGATTTCCTGGTGTTATCGAACAAGAATAAATCAATTAACATATAAAATGCTCGTCCAAGGGTCAATAACCAAGGCTCTCGCATTTGTCTTTTAAAAATAAACGATTGACCTACATAAAGCGTCTTCCTGATTTACATCTGATTTACATCTGCGCGTCTCACTATCCAGGTTTAGATTCAACATGAATAGAAAATAAATTATATTACTATAGAGATGATACGATTCGAGAAAATTTTTATAATTTCCGGAACAATTTCAGAGTAAATGGCACACAAAATTTTTCAATTTTATGATAATTAAATTTATCGGGTCTCATTTGTTCAAACTGTAATTCAATCTTCTTCATGCAATAATTGAGAGTCGAGTGACCCCATGTGTATCTCAATTTCTACTGACTTCGACTCAACAGGTTGGGGGGGGGTTCTCCTAACATTGTCAAAAAACTAGTTAGACTAAGCAGTGATTATTGTTCTAAGAAATCATTTTCAAGGAGGGATGCTCCTTTTCACATGTTTGGAGGGAGAGCAATGTTCATTTTGTTTATTTTTTTGGGATAGTGGCCCTCAGAAAAAGACAATTCTCTCTGCCGTGCCATTTGACGAAGTATTTGTATAAAATATCCAAAGACTACGATCAATTGATTGAGGAAGAAATATACCAAGGGACTATAAATACTCGAATGGTGATTTCCTATTCTACGGGATATTTCAGTAGGCTATTACTATTAGTGCTATTACAATTCAAAGCTATAATTAGGGGGTTTTAACTTTTAATATTTAAGAATGGCTACAGCAATTGCAGATCTTAGGTCAAGAATTTTCATTAGCATGGAATTTAAAAAAAATAGTCATAATCTTGTTTAGTATACGAGTTCCCAAATAAGTGAGACTACTCTTCTGAACACAAAATTCACTTCAAGGAATTTCCGATAAAATTCAACTCCCGATCCGTTCCGTAATTCGCTGGATTATTCCATCAATGTTCGTATATGGGGATTGATCGATAAGAATGGGTTGAGGGCTATGTCTGTTACTCTAAGCCTTTCCTATTGAAAGGGTCATCCCGATGCGGCCATGCCAAATCATGCAAAGCTACCTCAACTCATTGAAAACTTTGGAAATGTTGGATGCCGTATGATTTATAACACTGACTCCTTTCGTACAGCTTTTCGCTCCAAGCAGTTTCTCCACGGTTCTTATTCTTGAAACAGGGGAGCAGCGTTCCCAGGAGAACGCGTGTTTCGTCTTTTTCAGTGATATGCGAATGATAATATAAGTAACAAAGACGGAACGCTGGTTCTCTTGGGAACGCTGTTCCCCTGTTTGAAGAATAAGGACCCTGGGATTCTCGTCTCAGGGGGAGTAGAGCTCCCCGAGAGAACAAATTTTTTGTCTCTATCATTCTCGTTTACTTTACGATTACGTTGACAAGGACAAAACATGCGTTCTATCGGGAAGCTCTACTCCCTGAGACAAGAATCGGGCCTCAGGGTCCCTATTCTCGAAACAAGGGAGCAGCGTTCCCAGGAGTACGAGGGTTCCGTATTTGTTACCTATACATATTATAATTTGCATATCACTGAGAAAGACAGAACACTCGTTCTCCTGGGTTATTCCCCTGTTTCAAGAATAAGGGCCCTGGGTGCATTCTTGCCTCTGCGTACAACGATTCACTTCGCTTTCGGCGAAATTTGAATTTCATGCACGTCATTGATCTCTCTTCACGAGCCTGTATGGTCTTTCCCACGATCTTCTGGATATGACTAGACCTTCGCCCTCATTGAAAGTGCTCGTCCCATCTTCATTCTATTACTGTTCAGACGTAGTCTATTCCTGACAAAACCATGAACCACTTCTGACAAAACCATGAACCACTTTTAATCTGTCCTGGAGCTCAGCCAACATAAACAGCTTTGATTTTATCGGCTGGTGGTGGTCTGCAAAATTTGTCGTCAGCATCGATGGTGTAGCCGGATTAGCTGACGGATTCTTGCTGAGAGCATTCGGGAGGAAAAGAGGTACCAGTTGGTCGTTGATGTTCATCCACAAACATTGATGAAGAGTCTGATTGTGCCTCTTAACCATTTTCCGGACTTTGCATGAAGTGGAGTCATTCTCGTTTTCGTTTACCTAGTTTACCTTCTCCCCATTAACTCTATCATAGCTGCTCCCAGATTCAAAATTTCTTTCATGATCCATATGATTTTTCGTCGGCATCCCGAGTCTGACAATGATATTTTCCAGTAATTGTTCGAAACTTCAACAACTTGTATGGCGAATCACTTATGGCCAATTGAGAAAATAGCCCATTACAATCATGAAGTACTTATTTTCCGACTCTCTTGTAGAAAAGGACCTGCGATGTTTGTTGCTCTGAAAATACCGATCTCTTAATTGGCCCAATGTCTTTTTGATTCCAAAGCGGCCACGACGTCAACTACTGTGCAGTTCACTTAGCACTATGTCCTCCATAGTCTGTGGCACAACAGTCTGACATACTAGGCTTTTTCAATCTGTTCGATCCCTTCAATATTCGACCAAAACTAGAAATTTTCCGTTTTCTATCCGGGCACCCATCTTTTCCAATTCCGTGTCAGCATTTTGTTATTTATCAAACTCTTCTTTGAGTTGATATGTCTTCGTCAGCATTATTAGTATCAGTTTCATCATATTTGACCACTAAAGCTTAATTCTCACTTGCGCGAAATTCGCTCTTTTTTGACATTGCTTCGACAATTTGACGTTTTATGCGTGTATCAAACGTCACATTTTCGAAGCAATGTCAAAAAAAAAGCTAATTTCGCGCAAAAAGAGCGAATTTTGCGCAAGTGAGAATGAGGCATAAAGGTTCACAAGAAGCACTCATCAACTTATCATGTTCACCAATGGTTATTGCACTGCGTCCAGAAAAGTCCAAGTCTCCTAACTGGTAGCCTAAAGAACTTTTAACTAGAAATTATTTATGGTAGACTTTAAAATAGTACTGGTTGTATCTATAAGATGGTGTTGCAATTTTAGATGGGTATATTTTTTTCAGTTTTTTCCAGTCCACGAAAATCACTGTTCTCATAAAATTGAAATAATCTCCACTTGTAAAATGCTTAGAACACGTTCTAATAAGTTAAGTCATTCACATATCTCATGATCAAAATCTTTCCCTTGCCTTACAATAAAATTATCACTGTCTTTCTTCTGGCCCGTAGCATGGATTTTCTTTATACCTTCCTTGATTCCACTATTTTTGTTACGAATGACATGAAAGAATTGCACTAATTGCTGTTGTTTGTGTAGGTACCTACCTATTCGCTTTGAACTGTAATAGCTCTAGATATAAACCAGTATTTTTATATTTTGCCAAGTGCTGTTTTTTTTTTAAATATTTCTCTATTGGGCCCACAAATCTGTGAAAAACTTTTCTTTGCACTTGTTTTTTCCTTGAAATTGAAAAAGTTATGACATGTGACGGTAGGTTTTAATACGAAAGGTTAACCAACTAACCAAAAAAAGATACATAATATGTAAAATATTATGTAAAAAAGTTATAAAGAGTTTTTCTATTTTGTATAGCTTCAAATAATCGAAAAACTTTGCGTCGTAGATATATGGACTTAATAAGCTTTTTGTAGAGATTCCTGAGATGTAGTATACATATACACCTACCTACAAGCGATATAGCTGTTGAGTTCTTATCTTACCTTAGATCATATATATATGTTATTCACATATGGATACAGCTTGATACAGCGAAAGCCAACAATTATGTTGACAACATATCCAAGACATACTTAAATCGTCTTTCTTTGTTTAAGACGCAGATCTCTTATGAGCTTTATCTTTCTTTTGTCTTGCATGGCCTCTCATTGGCGGCAAATTTGGATAAGTGACAGAGAAAGTTCATTTGTTATGTTTACATTTACTCTAGGTAAGGAGAAGGAGAGGTCGATTGAATTTTATATTATATTGATTCACTGATAACTTGAACTGGTGGAAAAATAGTATTGTTTACAGTTCAAAAAATGCTGCCGAGTGATTTCTATTCCCATATTTCAATAATTATGCTATGCAAGTGATTGATAAGTGAATAAAATATACATATATCTATCAAGTCTTCCTAGCTACGTTTGGCTTTTTTTGCCTCTGTTTTTACTGGCAGAGTTGCTCTATTGCAATGGCTTTTAAATTAACTAAGAATGTATATTGCTCCATTCAAAATATCGAAAGCAATTGGCAAAACCGGAAGAATGCAGAAATCAATACAATCGACAATCAAGCAAGGGCTGCCAATGTTGCCAAATCATTTAAAGCATCATTTCTACCGCATTCATTAATACTTTTCAATAAGAATACTACAATAAAATAATTGATATTACTTTTGAATCTTGAATTGCTTGGAATCTAAAATAAATGCTATTTTCATTGTGATTTTGCTTCTAGCACACAATTTTATAATTAAGGGAAATGTGAAGAAATGTCGAAGCTTACACAATATTAATCCATTTGGCAATATTGAAAATTGAGTAAATTAGCAAAGACGTATGTTATTACGTCTAACTACGCATGCTCAGACGGTGAAACAAAAGAGAGATAAATTTATATCATTCATGAGGCTATGAAAGAGATAAATGGAAAAAAGCACGTCTTCATGTTGTAAACAGGAACGTATTTTATTTCAGAGGGTATTGCTGTATCCATATGTGAATAACATATATATATGATCTAAGGTTCTTACTCCTTACAGTCCTTACGATTACCAAGATGTTTGAAAGTTACTGCAAAGATTTTTAATAATCTTTAAGCTCGAAATCAATTAACGCATGAAGGAAATTTAAAAGGAAACTGATGCTAACACGTCATTGCATTTTCAACATAATTTGAATCAATTCCGCATCCGCATGTTTCAGTTTTTAAAATCGATCGATTCAAAGCTGAATTTCTTTGGCAACTTTGTTAAAACTGATATCCTCTACGTGTGCTAAAGCCTTATTTCCAATTAATTATATTTAATTTTTTTTTTTTTCAGATACAGTCTGCAGCATCCCTACTATTAGAAAGTAAGATGTTTTACGTTCCTTTTTTACTAAATTCTGCGATTCAGAGGTAGTAGCGAGCCTGCACTGATTATTGGAACTTAGGTGAAATGAAATAATATAGTCTCTAATGCTATATTATTGCTATCAGAAATTATAATGACTTATATATGTTGGATGTACATATATAAATAAAACAAAAAGTCGTATCTATAGGTAGATACATATTTTAGAAACAAACAAAAAAAAACCTTCGGTCTATACGTCGTCGTTATATTTAATGAAAAAAATTACTCGTTAATTTTTCGGTTTGTTATGTCGATGCTCGGATTTTAATTATAATAGGATGCGATTTTCCCGTATTCGAATGGACTGATGTTTATTAATAACAATATGAAACACCACGAGACGCCCAAAGGAAAAATAATATCTATTTTACTTTCTTGTCAACCATTTCTAGTCTATTTTTACCCTCTTATAGTTTGTTTTTCTTTGTATCTTACCCCTTCGTTTTAAATTTTACCTATCTTTCATGTTGTGTTTTTATTTATTTTTTATTTGTTTAGTTCCTTATTTTTTTCTATTTTGTAAAAAAGATGTTATTTTTCCAAAACTGAAAAAAAATTACGTATTATTATAATCCTAAAATGTAATAAAGACTTGCATATTGATGCATTTTGTATTACCCAGTTTACCTTTTTTTTTTCACTATGTGATTTGATTTAGTTAGCCAAGAACATTACCTGAAAAGTCAACCATGTGTCCTAAGCTACAGGGTGTTACAATTTAAAAAAAAAAAAGTTTTTGGCTAACTAGTTAAAAATATTGTCGATAAGAAATTGTATATCTCAAAGATCTATTTATCTACTATCATAATCTATATTTCAGATTTTGACTTCATCACCTTTTCCTGATAAATAAACCTTTCTAAGCAGTAGCTTATTCCACATATTTAGCTTTTATTAATTTCAAAATGTACCTACATGAATTACTGTATAACTAAGGTGATGAAGTTATTAACATGGGCAAATTTAGTTTGAATTCTTGAAAAAAAAAGACATCAATTTTAATATAATACGAATTCTAACTGGATTAAGCCGTAAAAGTAAATACAAAACAGACATCTGACTCTATGAAGTACAAAAAGCATTGCCATTAGGTGTTATAGTTAACTGACATGGTAGTAGCGCAGAGCTATTTTTTCGCAAGATGTGTAATATTTATTCTGTAGAAGTAGAATTTCATAATAATTTATTGCCCTTATGTAAAGCTAATTTCAAAATACTGAGCGGCAACATGGGAATCAAACCACTCTAAAAGAAGAAAAAAATTAACTTGGTACAATGTGGTAGGTACCAAGGCATAATAAGGTATGTGCAGCTTCGAATATATAACTTCAACTATATTCTTCTCTTCCTCTTCTTCTTTTCATTATTTTTTCTTTGTAATACATTAATGGATGTCTATGTATTAGGTACTAGCCATTTTAACCAACCTATGGGCGTACTTGGTGTCTATTCTTCTTTCAAAGATGGCAAATACTATGACATTATTATCTGAATTTATGAGTCAAATATCCCTTGTATCAAAGTATAACAACTTATTCACTATGCTCTTATTTGAAGAAATTGAATATACTTTTTTCAGGTTTCTTCCTACTTTCCTGAATACTGTTCCAATAAAAAGCACAAATTCATCAAATATTAAATAAATTAATATTGACAAAAAATATGTAGCAAAAACGGACAAATAAAAAATCAATCAGATCTGCGATTCACAAATCCACTTTATCGTTATAGATTGTTGATGTTTTTGAGCTTGGTTGTGTGTTTTTTCTAGGCTTTCTTTACTTACTCTATTAGCTCCGGTATCAACCATCCAAGGAGCTCCTTATTCTTGTCAATTATCTTCGTCTTCGAAAATAAAAATAAACCTGGTATCACTTTCTAATTTTTTTACAAATTTACCTCGTGCAATATATACAGTACTTTAGCTAATCATTCATTGGTAAGATTGTTCCTCTTAGGTATATGAATAATAGTCAATTATCAAGATTCCCGTGATACAACTCAATTCTACAAATGTTCAAAACGACCTCCATCTTCTATTCACCATGGCCAGTCTAGGTGAGAAACTAAAAACTACTGCATAAGAAATACTCTGAAAATCTAATGTACCATACAGATTATCTCTTTTATTAGCATATCAATATTTTCTTGTCTTTCCTGCAATACTTTGCCTTTTAAAAAATAGTTCAATGGCCATTCAACAGCTGTTGACTGCGATTTGGAACAATTTCTTCCAATGATAATATTTATTCGAAAATCTTTTTAAAATCATATCATTTTAGGGGTGATACGTAGTTTTACGTCGTTGGAAAAGGTAGCTGATATTCAAGTGGCGTTGAATTTGTCTATCGACTATTTAAATGTATAAGCTAACCCGAAAGTGTCACATAACGAGAATGAACCTTAGATTTTCTTATGGGGGATTCACATGTGAAAATGACCAAAATTGTCGCAGAAACTTCTTAGCTTATCTACTTATGCACTACCACTGAGGACCAAATTTATTTTTCTTTAAGAGTAAGAACGTTATAGAGCTGAAACGGAACCCATACTTGTCGCTCTATATTTTGTCTAATCGATTGGATATTTTGGTGTACAGGGTCTATGGTTTATTTTCAAATTTATATTAAATTTAAACGTCTTCCAAAATGTTCCATATTCTCTAAATTATCACGTATTGACCTAAAAAAGTTTTGAAATAGCAAACGACGACAAATAAAATACATAGTGAATAATAAAAAATATAATTTAGCATACAAAAGATTCTCTTTATTCGAGATTAACTGAGAAGAGTTTCAGTTTGACAGGTCGTCTTTGTCTACAGTTTAGTCAGCAATAGGGCTACTTTCGTCCTAATAATAATCTAAAAGTCCATGCTTACATAAATTCCATACTACTTTTTATCAACATCCATAAACAGCCTAAAATTTTAAGAGGCTTTTTAAACTTGTCATGCCAACTCCTTTTCTCATTTGTTGTCGGTTTTTATATTTATAATTCCATCATTACCTCACATTTGAGAGTGCCTAAAGCGAGGAAGAACCACCTCCCAAATTACTAGATAAAAATGTCCCATATTTCATTTGACATTCCTTGAATCACCCTCATAATTTTCCATACGTCCTCGTGTTCCTCCAAACTTCGCCGAACTTCCTTTTGGACATCATAAACGAACGCGTGAATCAAGTTACAATATCGCTTGTTATAAAATTGAAATATTCCAAAACTTCTCTTTTTATTTTGTGCTTCGTTGCATTCCCTTTTTTCTTGTATTCCACCAAACTACATTACTTCCCTTATTTCTTCTGAACTTCCTGAGATGAGACTTCCAAAGCGGTGTCCCCCTCGGTGCAAGTTTCTATAAAACATTTCAAAACATTGTTTTTAAACACGTTCCAAAGCTTCTCATTAGAATTTCACAACATAATTTTCCGACACTAGCTAACCTCTGCCATAACTTTACATTATTTCTGAAAAACACTGTACCATAACCTGAAGAGACTAGGCCAAGTATTCAGAAATCCTTCACCGACAAACTCAATGCAAGCTGTGGTACTGACCACTGTGACCAGATTTCAAAAATTTGATTTTATGTGGTTGAATTTGAAGTTAGTACGCTGCTTATAGCTTTGTTCCAACCCAGCAGGGAACAACTGTACATTTCACCGGCAGGATTCTGCGAAAACATAAAATTTGTGCGTAAATCCAAAAATCGTATACAGAGTGGTTCCGAAACCATTTTTGGGACGGTTTTTTGGCGGGTTGGAACAGACCTTATGTCCGCTTATTTGGTGAATTCGGTACAGTTCAGTGTCTACAATGTGACTAGTTATCAAAAAACATACAAGCCATAATAATAAATAAAAATTTAATTTATAGATAATATTGACAAAAATAAAAAAGCAATAAACTATTATAAAAATAACAAAAACATCTAAAAAAACAATAAGTTCTTAAGAAACATAATCTCTAAAAAACTCTGGTTTTTTAATAATTCTACCAGACCTAGAAATACCAGCCTCTGGCAGAACTCCAGTTTGGTCAAAACCTAAACTTGAGTGGTCAATATTCTGATTTATAGTTTCTTTCAATTTTATAGATTGACCAGTATTATTGGCTGTCAAGTTCAAGTTCTGCTCTTTCTCATCTGTCCTTTGCGAATCTGAACCAGATCCAACCACCTCAAACTTCTGTCTAAGCGACGCTTTATGAATGTTAAATCTATTTCTCGTCACAACATTGCCTGTAGGTAGTTGAACCTGATAAGAACGTGGTGCATTACCCTCCTTGACTATTTTTGCTTCAGTCATATCATGAACATTATCTTTAATATGTACTACCTCCCCTACTTTATTGAAAAAATTGGGTTTAGCATGATTTCTCATGTCATGATAATGCTTATTCAAAACCTGCTTGAGTTCTAAATGTTTTTGAATAACTGTTTGTTATTTACAATTTCCTCGCCATTACTTATATTTTGTGAAAAATTTTCTGGTACTGGAAGAAAGGCATTCACATTACGTCCAAACATAATTTCACGAGATTTATTTATGTCAGAATCTATAGGGGTATTCCTATATTCTAGCAAAACGATATACGGATCTTGTCCACTATGTTCCGCCTTTTTGAGCATTGTTTTAAAAATACCCACATGCCTTTCTGCCATAGGTACCATTAAAACAAGGATAGTATGGACTTGACACTATCTGCTTAAAATTCAAAGTTTTTGAAAAATTTTAAAATTTGAAATTCGCAAACTGAGGTCCCCCATCAGAATAAACTAACAATGGGATACCGTATCTGGCAAAATTGGATTTAAGAGCAGTTATAACAGCCTCTGCAGACTCATTTTTCAATTCTATGTGATCTCTAAAAATTTGCTGAAATAATCAAAACAAAAGTTTTTGTACGAAAATAAAATAAATCAACACCCAATACTTGCCAGAGGCCATCAGGAACTTCTCTCAGTTGCAATTTTTCATGAGTATGAGTTCTTTGAAATCTTAAGCATGTTTCACAATTCTTAACCAGATCTTCAATTTCTTTAAGCATATGTGGCGAAAAAAAAATCTTTTTAGCACGAGCTTTACACTTTTCTAGTCCAAAATGATTTATATGAATTAATTCCAGCATTTCTGAACGTAAACTGTTTGGAACTACAACTAGATTATTTTTAAAAAGAAGATTATCAATTACGTACAATTCATCTTTGATTGAATGATAATACTTTAAATTAACTGGAATATTTTCATAAGGTGGCCATTCAGTTTGGATATAGAAAATTAACAATGACAAATCAGGTTCAAGAGATGTTTCCTTCTTGAACATTTCACACTTGGTTTTTGTAATTGGTAAAGCATTAATTATCATACCAACATGTGTATTTACTTCTTTATCTAAATCATCATTTTCAACAATATCAGTCTTTACAAAGTTCCTGAAGGGCAAAAATAAATCTTTACCAGGTTTAAAACGAACTTCAATATTATATGGCTGTAAGCGCAACCTAAGCCTCTGCAATCCCAATGGTGTGTCATTCAATGACTTTTTAAATATATTTTCCAAAGGCTTATGATCACTTTCAACCACCACTACTTTTCCATAAACATATTGGTGGAATTTCTCACATCCGTACACTATTGCTAATAATTCTTTTTCAATCTGAGCCCATGCCTTCTGAGTAGCAGTCAATGCTCGAGAGGCATAGGCTACAGGCAAATTATTCTGTAACAGCACAGCTCCCCAAGCCTTGGCTGCTGCTATCAACTGACAAAACAACCTCTGTATGGACATCATAATATTTCAGTACGGGTGCACATATGAGCATTTTTTTAGGTTTTTCAAAATCAGATGTTTCTTTATGTCTACATCTTTCTCAAGCAGTTGTCTCATCGAGCTGGTAACATCCGCCAAATTGGGCAAAAACTTAGATACATAGGTAACCATTCTTAGCAAAACCTGTAGTTCTTTTTTGTTTTTTGGATTGTTTAATTGCAAAATAGCACTCACCTTTTCTTTAGCAGGACGTAAACCATTTTTTGTAAACACAAGACCTATATAACGTACTTCGCTCAACCCAAATTTACACTCGAGTCGATTGAAACGAACATTGGCACGTTTAGCTCTATCTAACACTGCTTCCAGTCTTTTGGCGTACCTATTCTTCTTTATTCGCTGCCCAGACTATAACATCATCTATGTAAATTTCCACTCCTGGAAGTCCATCAAAAATATTCTTGAATGTACGATGAAAAACTTCCGGTGCAGAGCACAGTCCATAAGGCATTCTCCTATAACAATATTGCTCATAACACCCAGCATTAAATGTTGTAAGTATTTAACTTTCTTCATGCAACTTGATCTGATAAAAGCCCTTATTGCCGTCCAGTATTGAAAAAATATTTGCCCCTTCCATCTTGGATGCAATTTCCTCAAAAGTCGGAAACTGATACCACTCACGTACTATGGCTTTATTCAGATTTTGTGGGTCTAAACAAATTCGAAGACTATTGTCTGGTTTTTTTACAATGACCATAGAACTGCACCACTCAGTTGGTTCAGTCACTTTTCTCAAAACGCCCATTTTCTCCATTTTATCTAGCTCACTTTTAATTGACTGCTGAAGGCTGATTGCAATTTTTCTTGGAGGTTCTACAAGTGGCTCTACCTTTTTCTTCAACTGAATTTTATATGAATTTGTCAATTCACCAATGCCTTGAAAAATATGGTCGCATTTTTTACTAGACTATCAATCACATATTTGTTTTTCTGTTCTACCGATCCTACTCTCTTTAGCAGATTAAACATCTCAATAA